CGTAAATACATATGTAAATCTATTTAAGTTATAAAGGTTTTGTGATCATTATGATTCTTCATTTTAAGTAAGTGTGGTAAGAGAAGCTGTTACTTCGCTGTATGAATGCACACGACACGTGTGAGGTCATGTTATGTTGACATAGCAAACATTGTCGCTTCTCCTCCCCACCCGTTATCTCTCGCTGCTCATGCCTATTCACTTTTCTCTCCTTTTTATCCATTTGGTTCTCTCCCATTTATCTCATCATGCACGTTGCCTTCCATTTCCTTGTTATTCAAAAGTAGTAAGGAGGATATGTTGGGTTAGCTTGAGGTACAGAAAATATGAAAAGTGGATGTCGTGCCAAAACAAACACACCACTCAACCCTCACTCATCACCACTCCACCACCACCACCACCACCACCACCCACCCCACCCCCAACCCCACCCTAAATCCTTTCCAGTGCTTGCGTTATTCATTTACATTCTCGATGTCGCCGCGGAAATTTTTCGTGTGTAGTGTCTCTGCGATGATTTAAAACCTTTGTAACGGTCATTTTCACTGGACGGACGAGTATCAAAAATTTTCGAACGAGGCATTGGACGGACATCTTTGTGAAGGTTAGTACATGTATTTTATGTTATCAATAATATTTGCTCTCCTCTCTCTCTCTCTCTCTCTCCTCCTCTCCTCTCCTCTCCTCTATATGTATGTTCAGCTATATTTTTATGGTTTTGCTTGTTTATAGACATATACTATGGTATATTTTATACACGGTGTGTGATGATTACGATTGTTTACGTATAGTAGGTGCATTTATTACTCTAAATAGGATTAGGTTAGGTTAGCAGCACACCGAAAGTGTGAGGTCTTGTTATGTTGACATAACAAAATCGGACCCCCCCCCCTTTCCCCTCCCCATCATCTCTCGCTGCTCTTGCTACCCGGCCTATTCCCCCTTCTCTCTTTTTTATCCTTTTTTCATCCTCTATTTATCTCGACATGCTCCTCTTCTTCCTTTGCCTCACATTTCATCTTTCAATTACTCCCAAAATAACTAAAAACTTGCGCCAATTATAAAATCTTATATATTTCTTCAGCAAAATCAATGACGATAAAACAGTCTGTTAATCACCACCACCCTAAATCCTTCTCACTGTTTGTGTTACCTCTCGCGGAAGCTCTAGTCCTCCATTTGCATTCCAACTGTCGTCGCGTCAACATATCCTGCTGTACAGTGCTTCTGATACAGACTGTTTGCATTATTTTTGTGTGTGTATTGTGAATAACTTGAATTAGGCTCTTTTGTGTGTTTGTTATGACACAGTGACGGCAAAATGAAAATACATCAAGGACTTATATAACAACGCATTTCACGGACGATTTTTTGAATTTCGAAGGAAGCACTGGAAGGACTTAATTTTTAAGGTTAGTACATGTTATAAATTACTGTATTATTGTATCATAGTTAATAATATTATTATTATTATTTATTGTTATATTTTATATATGTTTTTTTTTTCATATTATATAGATATATATTTGTATAATTTTTAATCGTTATATCTCTTTGTTATTTATCGATTATTACACATAGCTTATTACGTACAAGTGTTGTTTTTTTTTTTTTTTTTCATGTACTGGGTGATTGATTGTCATGTTATGCCGCAAAGACGAACGCAATATATTTGTTTCGATACAAAATATACTTGCTATTGTCTTGTGATTAATAAATGATAATAAAAATACATATATTACTCTTTGACAATTTTGCTGTGACGATTAATTTTATATATATGAAAGGAAATATATATTATATATATATACACTTGTACATAGGCCTACGCAGTACGATTCAAAGTAACAACATTAATGATATTTATATTTGGTGTTCATGATAAATGTTTACAAATGTTCATCGCATCTTTGAATGAGACAAATCGTTTTTATTTCGTAGTATGTTATTATAATACGGCTTACAAACAACTGTTTTTAATATGCGCATAGGGGTGAGTAAAGGATATTTTTATTGAGATTTTAATATATAGTTATTTATCAATCTATACCTAATATTTGTTATTATATAAAAGGTCATACCCATTGTATACTTAGTCAGTCATTGTATAAACGCTTTTATGGGTTTTTGTAATTCACTTTATCCCCCCACTCTCCCCCTCCAATACCATCGGTCGCGTGCCCTCATCCTATCCCGGAAGGTCAGACTTGTCATTTATTGTTCATCTTTTTTCACGTGAACACGTGGGCAGTGCGGTGGGACACTTGCAAAGCGCTTTCAGTATATAATAACATGTGTTTTTTTTCATAGTGGTGCACGTTTTGTATACATTTGTTAACAATCTTACCTAGTCAGTTGAACGGACATGTTTGTTTGCACGGAACTGCCGCCATATTAATGGATAGAACGACACAAATCTTGTTTTTGTATTGTGATTTTATTTTTCATTCCAAACAATATTTCAGGGTGGGTGACTTTGCTACTGCTGCGCATACATAAGAACAAATGAAATAACAAAACATAACCAAGTTTGATTATTCGTTACAATTTGTTTATTATTTTCATTCTATCTTCTGTCTTGTTAATGATCAATCATGTTGCAGTTTTTGGATGGATGCTCGTCACTTTTGCTTGTTTTTACAGAGTAAGACGTCGAGTCAGTGTTATTTATTTACAATATAGTCATAATTGCGTGTCTATATAATATTGTATTTCATATATGTCATATTTCTGGTATGCATTTCTAGGATATTGTCATATTTAGATTATGCATAACGCTCATGTCTTTTCTTCATATATATATTTATGTACACAAGATACACGTACATGCTTTATACATGCACATGCATATGCATATGCACCTGCACACATACATACCTAGGTACATACATACATACATATAACATAAGTAAATAATTTTTCATTTTAGTAACATATATGTGTATATATAGCTGCATGCATACATCATGATATATAGAGATTCGAAAGTGATGTAATATAAATATATACAGTCTCCTATTTTTATTCTACATTTTGATTTGAATGATGAACGCATTTTCATTACCGTTTTGATTCATTATATTAATTGGGGAAAACAAATCATACGCAACATTCAATCTAACATTATTCCTACACTTCAGGTCACACCCGGTCACGTCGAACGAACTCGTACGCCCTAGCCTAGCCACCGTTCGCTTTACCGGACATTCCTAAACACGAGGTCAGCCATGGTCAAGACAAACGAACGCGTACATATTTCCATGATGATCAAGGTTAGTGATAAAAATAAATATTTATATTAATTAGGAATTAATTTCTGACGCAAACATTTATATTGATTTATTATTTTTATATGTACACGTACATGTACAATATATATTTATATACATACATACGTATGTGTTATATATACTATATATGTGTATTATATATGTATATATATACCGGATATATATATATACATATATGATATATAGTATATATATATATATATATATATATATATATATATATATATATATATATATATATATATATATATATATATATATATATATATATATATATATATATATATATATATATATATATATATATATATATATAGATATATATATATATATATATATATATATATATATATATATATCTATATATATATATATATATATATATATATATATATATATATATATATATATATACGTACATACATATTACACGAGATTTTTTTATATATAGTCATTATTATTTAGTAGTATTTCTATACTAACGCAAACGCACGCGCACTCACACACATATTGCATATGTTTGTTTATTACATACATACATACATATATAAAATAAAGTTTCGAAGTGCAAGGGAGTTGTATATGAAATGGGTTTCCTGTATTGTATTGTTTGGTTGCAATTTTGCTCAGTTTCAATGTATGAGTGATAGCGTTCACTACATTATTGTATCGACAGTGGGTATTTTATTGTGAGTTCCATTATTGCTAGTCTAGATAACATAACAGGAATATTTATTGGTTTGGTTGCTTGGTTGCTGGTTGGTTGGTCAGATATTTCTCTTATTTAGTCTTTGTGGCTCCAAAAGGAGCCGATGTAGTTGAAAAGAGGTAATACGGAAAGTATTTACTTCTTCTCGGTCTTCTTGGGGAGGAGCACAGCCTGGATGTTGGGCAGGACACCACCCTGGGCGATGGTAACGCCAGAGAGGAGCTTGTTGAGCTCTTCGTCGTTACGGATGGCCAGCTGCAAGTGACGGGGGATGATACGGGTCTTCTTGTTGTCACGGGCGGCATTACCTGCCAACTCGAGGACTTCAGCAGCCAAGTACTCCATAACGGCAGCGAGGTACACAGGGGCACCAGCACCTACACGTTCAGCATAGTTGCCCTTACGCAGAAGGCGGTGAATCCTACCGACGGGGAACTGAAGGCCGGCCCTGCTTGAGCGGGACTTTGACTTGCCCTTTACCTTACCGCCCTTACCACGACCAGACATGTTGATAGTTTGCTATGACTTTGCTCAAAAGAATCAAAAATCATAGTTGCGACGGGCAAAGCTTGGTATTTATAGGTGGCTCCAGGTGAAACGGTCTCATTGGGACATGTGGCAATGCGGGATGGCCGGGGATTGAGCCAATAGCGTGGCCCACGCTTTCCTTGGCCAGCCGAGGCTGGCGCTGGTGGTGCACTATAAAAGGAAAAATCATAGTTTGGAGTTCACGGTCAAAGCAAGTCAGCAGCCACAAACTTCGAAGTCAGATCCAGTGCAGTTCTACCTCGTTAAAACAGAGATTTTACTCCCTGTCTTTAACAGTTATTACTGCTCCGATCTCGCTCCCTAATTTGTGCCTTCGCTCACGCGTTTTTAGCCAGCTCTTTGCTCCCTAAAAGCACACTTTGACCTGATAGTAGCCTTGCGCTACCGAGAGACGAAATATTGATAAAGAGGTACACAGACAGTTCCGTCAAGTCACCGTGGTCTGCCGCGACCTTGACCAGGCTAATCTGTGTATCTCTGACCTGAGCCACCGGTCGTTGCCTGAACAACAAGTTGTGAATGTTTGTGTAGCCACGGCTACGATCACACTCATTCACAGCCCTGTATTCAGGCACTCTCTGACCCCTTTTTCTCCAACCAATTTTCTGCCTCTTTTCCTGTACTCCTCCTGGCCTACGAGAGTCTCCACGACTCTGGTATTCGCCTGGGGGAGGACTGCAGCCCCAGTCCCCTTGTAGCAGTTCGGGACCAGGGAGCAGATCCAAGTACAGAGCCTCAATTCTTGGAGGGAGCCGGAGAACTCCGCCGGTTCTTCCCTCTAAGAGGGTCAGGCAGCAGGGTTAGGGACATAGCAGGTCTCCATAAACCTGCAAGCTCAGTGTGTAGGGTTAGGGTTAGGTCCCTGCAAAGGGTCCCCACTGACCAGGCAAGGAACATCCATTCGACCTCTACAGCCCCATCAAGAGGGGACGGGGGTGGATTTGTAATTCCTTGCCTTCCCTAGGGTCAGTGGCGTAGCTAACGTCACCCCCACCCCATCCTCATGCTCTGATGAGGATTAAGGTCCTGACGACCAACGGGCGACCCTCCTCCTCGAGGAGGGAAGCCCTACTACAAGCTCTCTTTGATGCCGAGATCCGAACCCTGCGAGTAATCACCACCAACGACCAATTCGTCATCATCTGCCAAGATGAACCCAACGCTGAGGCCGTATTCACCCCCGAAACTACGACCATGCTAAAAAAAAAAGGATTCGAACCTCAGATGCCTCCGGAACTAAAAGCAAAACTGACATTGGTCCTAAAACAACTAGACAGAGAGCTTGTAAAAGAAAACCCAGAGGAGATAAAAGAAGAAATAGAGAGAAATCTTCCTGAAGCAAAGATAGGGGACATCTTCATCATGAAGAACCGCTATCTCATGAAGATTCAATTTTCGGACCACAAAACAGCGGCTAAAGTTCAAGAGGAAGGCCTATCCTCTTCAACATTTTCATTAGCCCTAAACAAATCGAACCTGAAAGATTTACAAACATTGTGCAATGCATGCACTGCTACAAATACGGCCACTATAAGACCAACTGCCCCGACAAAGAAAAAAGACTAAAACTATGCTCAGAATGCGGTTCCAACACGCACAACTATAGAGACTGCAAGTCTGATGTCAAGAGATGCCTCAATTGTGGGGAAGGCCATCGCACCCTAGCGAACTCCTGCCCTCTCAGAAAGGAAGCCATAAAAAAAACCAGAGAAGAAAAAACTAAGAAAGAAGAAGAAAAGAAAGAAATCCCCATTAAAAGGGTAGCAGAACAAACAGCTAAACAAACTATTGAAGCTACACAGAACGCCTGGTTTAAACCCCTTATGAAGGAAATTAAGGAGGACAAAAAGGAGAGGAAAGAACCACAGGTAATCCTGCAACTACCTGACGACCTGTCTGTGGGCATAATGACTGCCTTAATACATGCCCACCTCCAAAACATCATGGAGCCAGGTCTAGGATTCAGACACCATGCAAAAAGGTTTTAAAAAAGAACAATCTACCCGATCTCGACCTTGGTAACGGGGATTCCTGGGGGATCTTCAAAGTTCTCCCACCAAAAACAATAAACACCACAACAGAAACCACGCTCACACAATCCACCATCTCACCACACCCCCCACAACCAGATCTCGGCCCACAGGACGAGCCAGAGACCGAACTCTTCACTACACCACAAAGGAAACCAACATCAACACCCACACCCACGCCAGCACCTACGCCAACACAATCACCTGTACGACCACGCACCACCAAAACAAACACGCCCAAGCAGTCACCACAGCAACCCAGACCACAGACAACACAATCAGTCAAGCCAAAAACAACACACATACACCGTAAACACACAGACGACCTTACAGACTCCGAGGTCGATGATCAGTCCCTTCGCCACAGGGACGGTTACGACCTCAATCCAAAAACATACGGCATCCGCCTCTTTGCGACGGAGCCCTCTCGCTACAAACACCTAAACAGACTACAGCTGGCACACGAAATCACACGCGGCACAATTAAATGGATCTACACAGACAACTCATACCAAACACGCATTCACGAACAGAAGATCACACAACACCTACACGAAGGCAACATGTTCATCCAGCCGAACATGATTGAAAAGGTAAAAAACAAAAAACCTTGAACACATTCAAAATGGCTGGTACAACATATCCAAGTAACACCATGGCTGCACCACACAACAACACATTACACTCCAGACTCACCATCATACAACATAATGTAATAGCATGGACATACAGACGAAGACAAGAACTCTGCAATCACTACAGACGACACGACCCTGACATCATACTCATCAACTCCCATTCACTCAAACATCCACAAACACTAAAAATATTCAACTACACTACATACACATCCAACAAAACAAACGAAGGCAGCGACGGCGTAGCCATCGCAGTCAAACAACACATCAAACACAAAATACTCGACACCTTCACCTCAGAACTCATGGCCATAGAAATAGACACACCTCATGGACCCATCATCATCGCCACCACCTACATCCCTCCACGCAGACCTTACATAGATCAACCTGACATATATCAGCTCCTGCGACACAGAAAACCAACATACATAATGGGAGATTTCAACGCACATCACAGACTTTTCGGATACACAGACACAAACGCCGTCGGAAGAGGCCTCGCCTCACTCATCTCCGACGGCAGACTCACCCACCTCGGCCCACACGCACCCACATTCATACGTGACAACAGCTCCACCACACCAGACATAGTTCTCGCCAACACACAAGCAAACCTGAACCACCACATCACCACGGACGATGTCACATCCAGTGATCACCTCCCCGTCATACTCACACTCTCCACAAACCCCATCATGGTACCTACACCTCCCCGAGAGATCCTCAAACATGCAAACTGGAAGGGTTCAAACAAGCACTCGAACACACACACACTCCTGATCTCGAGGGGCAACCCACGCACACAATAGACCACCACCTTAATCAGTGGTACACAGACATACAGACCGCCCGCGAGGCAAACATTCCCAAAACAACATTCAAAACACTCGTACACTACAAAGAAACACATCGTCTAAAAACACTGAAAATACAATACAGACACCTTCGGGACCTTGCTGAGACACAGGGATGGAACACCGAATTACGCTCACGATACAGAGAAATTCAAAGACAACTGACCAACGAAACAAAATACATGAGTAACCAACACTGGGAAACACTCACACGAGAACTATGCAACAACATAAAAGATCCTAAAGTCTTCTGGCTGAAGTACAGACGACTCTTAGGATCGAACAGACAGACTATCACATACATATACAACACCAATAGACAAAAGATAGACACAGCAGAGGGGATGGAAGCTGTCCACAGGGAGTTCTGGCAACAGAACTTCCAAATCTCCCCTGCTGAAAACACGACATTCGACCCAGACACAGAAACCGAGGTTACACAAACACTACAACAGCTGCAACACTTGATTCTCCCATCACAAACAATATCACTCAACACACTCTCACCAGACGACCCTCTCTCACGCCCCATCACACCAGAAGACATGAGACACGCTCACACACGAACAAACAACACAACACCAGGAGCCAGCAACATCAACAAACTCATCATGCAACACCTCCCACCCATCATGCTCGCCAGACTTCGCCACATTTTCAACGCTGCCCTGGCAACGGGATACTTTCCCTCCCGTTTCAAGAGAGCCACGCTCGTCCTAATACCCAAGCCGGGGAAGCCACCTCACGAGGTGACCAGCTTCAGGCCGATCTCCTTGTTGGAGGTCCCCGGGAAGATGCTTGAGAGGCTAATCACACACAGACTGAAAACACACCTTGAAAACAACAACACACACAACACTAGGCAACACGGCTTTCGCCCACACAGAGGGACTGGGAGTGCAATCGCCCTCGCGTACGAGGAGATTGCTCTCAGTCTCGCAAACAAGCACCAAACCAACATTATACTACGAGACGTCACCAAGGCCTTCGATAAGGTCTGGCACGACGGTCTCAAATACAAAATAACACAGCTTCACTTGCCTCCACATCTCACACGCCTCTTATGCAACTTCCTGGACGACAGATCGGCCAACATCCGGCTTGGGTCTTATCTCGGGCCCTCCATCCACCTCAGAAGTGGAGTACCGCAGGGCAGCGTCCTCTCGCCAACCCTCTACACCCTCTACACCGCCTCATTACCACCCCCAGCACCCTACAGCAACTACACAGCATACGCAGACGACATAACACAAATCATCTCACACCCCTCCAAATCCAAAAACATCATGAAAGCAGCCACACAAACAGCCATCAACACAATCAACACCTACGAAAACAAATGGAAGATACAAACAAACACAAACAAATTCACCATCATACCACTGGCTCGCTACAACCCACCCCCAATCACAATAAACAACAGAGATATACCCTACGCAAACAAAGGAAACATGCTAGGCCTACAC